ACAGAAAATGATCTCTTTACCAAGAAGATCTCAGCTAAACCAGACAATATCTTTAGCAGTTAAACCCATCAGCCTTTTTGACCATTCATAGGAATTTCTGGAATCTATGAAGGCTCCAGAGCGAGGAAGGTGATCTATAAACCATTTATGGAAAAAGTGGTACTCAACAAGAAACTATCTTTCCTCTTCTCTTTTTGTTCTTGTAATGAACTGAATGATATAGATCTCCCAAGAGCCTTGGCACATGATTCTTTGATACAAAGAGACAAATAACACTCATATCTACAAAGTCGGGCGCATTGGGAAACAGTACAATACCATAAATACAAAATGCCAATATGGCACTGAAGACAACCCATCAACCCTCACTGGCATATTTCTGAGCTTTCTCCACCAAGAAGGCTAAGGTATATCCAGAGATTCTGCTTCTGCTGACGATGTTATCCACCAACACAGACTTGCTCAAATAAAGAGCAGTAGTAAACTTGTCAAAATCTGGGCTCTCCTTAGAGTAAAATAAATGTGTTCCATCCTGGATAGGGATTCCTAAGATATGATCATACTCCTCTAATGTGGGACCAACAAATAGTCTGTAAAGGTGAAATAACGCAGAGGAGGGTCATAGAACCGCAACAGGGTATGAATGACTCTATACTCATAGTCTGTGACATTACAGACGAAATTCAGAATCCTCCCATAATCTCTTCTGAAGATTTCAAGAATACCAGGATCAGCCATAACAATCAGATAAATAATAGGTCTTAACTTTGGTGACGAGGACTTGTATACGATGATCTTCTTTCTGTCAACCACAATCTCCATAGAAAACCGGAATCAAAGACGAGACAAGAAACTGAAAGTACATAAACATGCAATGTTAAGATGCAGAATGATTATGTAGAGGAACACAAGGGGTCAAGGTAACCAATGCTCAAGATAAGTTGTTGTGTTGTTGACTGAGCAGAACCAGAACATCGCTCTAATAAGAAACCCAGAAAACCAAAACACTGAGGTGATAGAAAACCAGAGTACCCAAGATCAAAAGTCTGCACTAATGAGAGAACCAGAAAACTGGGTTGGTTGAAAGTCAAGGTTTCTTGCAAAAATCCATCCCCTCTCACATGTGGGTTCTAGTCTTGGAAAGTACGAAAATCCTAACAGGTTATCAGTATCGCAGACTCTCAGGTCGAGAAACAATGATACATTCACCATTTCTAGTTTGGCATCATCATCAATCGAGGAGGTCTCAACTGACTCCCCAATGAACGGTATCAGAAGTCATAAGCTCTCTAAGTCAACACCCTATCATAAACACCAAATGTACAAGATAAAGCATCTCCAAAGAAAACCTCATCTAGACGTGAATTTCGTGTGAAATTTACATAGTCAGACGCTACACAAGTTCCTACTACCCTCCACTCTAAACCTAAGTGTGTGCTCAAGCCTGGGTAGTGGGCTGGTCTCTCATGGAACAACACATCCAATAGCACAACAACAGCGGCGTAATAAGATAACAGTAATCATGAAACAGTAAAATGCAAATGCAATAGTAAATATACAACATTAAATATACAACAGATACAACATACATATGTACATATATAAATGCCCAAAGAAACAAAATAGACAAGCGTTAGGATTGACTCGCATAGGGAACCAGAGTCCCCAGTTGTCGCAACTGCGAAAAAACAACCGGCGGAAACAAACAGAAGAATCTCCACCGAACATTATTTATCCAAACGAGGGAAAGGAAACGATCGAAGAAAATCTAAAAGAAAGGAGAAGACAAGGTCATCGCAATCAAATCTTGGGTTCGGGAGTCAGTTACACAAGGGGAAGGTATGAGCACCCTTCACGTCTGTTGTACTCAACGGGATCTACGCTTTTTGTCTAATTAAAGGTTGAGTTATCTAAAGTTACTGCTAAACAGAAACAGGAAAGGGAAAATAAAAAGGAGACTCGATAGGACATCGCCGCCCTATGCCTACGTATTCCCTAATTCAATGGGAAAGTAAGAGTCAACATAGTTTGGAAAACTAGGGGTAGTGGGGGGAAGGGTGCTCGCCAAGACATCTCCATCTTGTGCCTATGTATCCTCATCTGGTATGAGAAATCAGAGCAAACGTAGTTCGGGAAACTACAGAAGAAAGAGAAAAGGGTGCTCGCCAAGACTTCGTCGTCTTGTGCCTACGTATCCTCATTTGGTATAAGAAATCAGAGCAAATGTAGTTTGGCTAACTAAACCTCAGGTTGGTTAAGTGTTTTTGATGAGCGACGTTAAGTTCCCATTCTAGCAGTTAAGGTCGATGCCTGTTTGCAGTAGAATGGAAAAGTAATGTACTATTTTTTGAAAATGAGTTTGAAGAATAAATCCCGAAGGATAAAAAGTTTGAAGTTTGTTTGTGAGTTTTAATGAAGTGAATTGACTGGTTTGAGATTCACGTTGCACTAAAGACTATGATATAGGAACAAATGTGTTACATATCGCCCCTAGACGGGACGTACACTAAACACTCTAAACAAGTAAGGAGAAACCCCTCACTCATCATTCCCCATATGCTTAAGGCTCGTGGCGCACAATGCTCATCGTCTTTATTAAGTGTCTTAGAATTATTTTGAGATGAGAAGAGAAAGGACCCAAAGGGTGAAAAGAAAATACTAAGGGAAACTGGATCCTAATGTTATTATATAAAATGGTCCTAAGATTGAGGTAAAAGGAAAGTCTACCTAATGTTATCATACAAATGACGGACCTAAAGTTGAGGTCAAAGAGGGATTATCCTAATTGTTATCATGCAAAGGATTGAAAGCCTAATGTCTCTCATACTCCCACCTTAATTAGAAATTAAGTGGGACTAGGAATCCTAAGGGATCATGCGAACAAGCACAAGTAAACATCGTACAATTCAATCACAAATAAAAACAAGATTGAAACATAAACAAGTATCAAGAAGAGAAGAAAGATGAAGAAGAAAGAAGAAGAATGAAGAAGATGCAACACTATGAACAAACATGAAAGTTCAAAGGCAAAAGGCACCAAGCAAACATTAATATCAATCACACAAGGTAAACATCAACATCCTCTCAAAACAACAAGAATGTGTTCATATGTCAAACCATACCCAAAGATTTGAAATCAAAACCAAATGGCAAAACAAAGTTCCCCCACATATACAAATGACTTAAAGTCCAAAAAGAAGCAATATAAATCATCAAGCAAAAGGAGATAAATTCAAATGAGATAGGAAGCAAGGTAGGGAAGTAGCAATATCACATCATATCCAATTCATGCCAATGATAAAAAAAAAAGCACAAAGAGTCAAGTCATGTACTAAATTCATAAACAAAACAATGGTTATACAAAACAAGCATGCAAAACATGACTCAAATGAGTAGACATGAGATTAGGGCATGAACCAAGTGTGGGAATTAACATCAACATCAATGTCAAGTTAAAAATCCATTTATGAACACACTAGAGAAGTGTCATACCCCAAATTTGTCCTACCTTTGTACAACCTTCATTATGTATGTTTACCTACTAATTATACTCAGAAAATCCCAAAAATACGTCATTTTCAAGTGTGGTTCACCAAGTCAAGGATGAATGCAGTTTTGATTGAAGGATTGTCAGGTTCAATCTAATGTTGGTCAAACCGGTCATGTGTAGTTAAGGCTAAGAGCATTGATTCAGTTGGAAAGTGACGCGTCGTGGTGTTCAGGGTCAATTAGTCCGCGTATGTCCTTTGAGTTCGGGTGGTGGTTATTCAAATTTCAAGACATGGTTAATTTTCTTTCAAGCCACACTTTGGTTGGTTTCGAGATTGGTAATGAGCTTTGATTTAAATGGTTGAATTCAAATGTCGAGCCAAGGTGAGATTTAATTGGACTTGATTGTTGGGCCCAACTAATTTGCAATTAAATGCTAAGTTTAATCCAAGTTACATGAGAGAATCATACCAAGGCATAATTTGGATATGTTACAAGTGACTATCGCACTCTTAAATTTGTTTCAAGTTTTACATGAAGTCTCTAGAGGCAATTCAAGTTAGGCGAGGCATTAGAGGTGGCCAAGATGAGGTGTGAATAAATTTGTGCTAGCCAAGTCGCTTGCAAACTGTTGGAATTACTCAAGTTAAACTTTGAACCATGATTAAAGGTGCATGAGAGGCATATGGAAGTGAATACAAAACATGAAATTATTTGTATGGATATTCGCTTGTTCTTAAAAGGCATGATCATTTTTGTTGAGTTCTAAAATAGGGCCACTATTTTAATCCAAAGCAAAAACTTATTCAAAGTTGACAAACCGTTATGGGAAGGAATTCATAAGTAAACTGTTTAATCAACATTATTCATGAGATTGATGTCATACGGGATTTAAACAGGGATAAATTACATTGCCTTTGCCTTCAAGTGTTTATACAAAATATCAAAAAAAGAAGCTACAAGAATGCATTGCATTACTAGTGTGAAGTCAGGATATTTTTAAGGATTCAAAACATGAAGTTGTTGCTCTGAACCTAAAGGAAATGAACGCATAAACTTCCAGGAGAATTTCCAAGTGAAGCATTTGCCTTAGTTCGCTCTCGAGCAACGCTGTCGCCGCCAAAACACTCTTATTTCACAAGTTATGAACCATGTACTTCAAGCTGCACCATATAACTCTTAATGGATTGGTCACCTGAGTTATCAGAGTATCATCATAGCACATCATACCGTAATATTATCATAAAAAGTGGCAAACAAAGGCACGAGATTCCAGTGATAATCATATGGATACCTCGCAATTCCCGCGGGATCTCCATATTCAAACCTTGTGGCGCTTTCAAGTTCTGTTCCATGAAGCTCTGAAGCAAAGTGCGGAAACCCGACCCACGCAGTGTATATCTGAACTTGACTTCCCACGGTTTCTTCTTCTCCAACACACGAGAAATAACTCAGAACAGAACCCAGCACTGCAATAACAAAACCCCAGTAAATTGAATGAAACCGTAAAAATGGATCAATCTCAGAATCAGCGATCACTAACAACCGCACCACCACCGTCTCGTTCTGTCCAATTCCACCCCGCTCGAGTACCGATTCTCGATCTCTTCACTCTCTACTTAGAACTTGGAAGAAACAGTCGTAACAAACTGGATGACTCACTCCGCGAACCACCTAACAAAACTCAAAAACGGGTGCATGCTATTAACAGAGAGCTTCCACCGCCGAATGAGCAATTTATTTTAGATTTTGAGCAACTTCAGAGCCAGTTTCCGGACTATGAGCAGTTACGTTTTGTGGCTGAAGCTGTTCTTATACCATTGGTTACACAATGTAGTGGTCATGGATCGAGATCAGACTTTCTTATTTTTATTTTGCGAAGCTTGAGCGGTATTGGGTGCATTAACTGGGACTCCTTTCTTCCGTCCCTTCTTTCTTCAGTTTCTTCGGCCGAATTACCGGTTGGTCAAATGAGTCAAGCAGTGCCAACAGTTACCTCTTCTAGCTTGTCACAGTCGGGAATGCTGCCTCCTCCAAACACGATTACTAATTCTTCTAACTTTCAGTCTTCAAATCCTGCATCTCCATTGAATTCTGTCCACACTATTGGCTCCCCTGCACAGTCATCGATTGAGCCGTTATCTGGTGCAGCTCTATCTCCTGTAAAATCATCTGATATTTCCTCTAGTGGATTACAGTTTAAACTAAGAGGCAACCCGTCTGTTAGAAATAATGATATCAGTAACAGTAGTCTTCGCCAGCTATGTTGCAAAATCATTTTAACTGGTCTGGAGTTCAGTTTCAAACCTGTGACATATGCCGAAATCTTCAACCATATGCTGAATTGGCTAGTGAATTAGGACCAGAGACAACATGGAGTTGATGAATCTGATATTATTAAGTCATGGAGACTTGACAAAACCGTAATAGTCTGGCTACATAGTTGCTTGGAAGTGATCTGGCTTTTAGTCGACGAGGGAAAATGTCGGGTTCCGTTTTATGAATTATTACGTAGTGATTTTCAATTCATAGAAAATATACCCGATGATGAAGCATTATTTACACTTATCTTGGAGATCCACAGGAGACGAGATATGATGGCTCTGCACATGCAAATGTTAGACCAGCATCTTCATTGTCCTACATTTGGGACTCATCGGATCCTAAACCAGACGACAACCTACTGCAACACCAGCTGCCAACCATTCTGCTATCAATAGCCCACAAGCCAGCCTACTATCACACCAAAAAAAGAGCATGAAAACCAAGGGTAGAAAAGTTGTTGTTTCCGCTTTTCAGTTTGCCTACACGGATGATGTCTCAAACGATGTCGCCACCGCTGAAAGGCTTGTTCGAGATGCCCGCAAACTCGGCACAAATATTATTCTCAGGCTATTAGTTCTGTCAGACACAAAGAGAGGATTTCTTTCAAGGAGCTAGACCCTATAAGGATCATCCTACAATTATAAGAAACTTGCAGAGAGTTAAGTGTAGTCATACCAGTTAGCTTCATTGAGGAGGTAAACAATGCACATTATAACTCAATGGTTTCCAGAGGCAGCCCGAGCAATGGTGCTTCAATGTGCTGAGATTTTGTTTTATCAAACTGCTATTAGATCTGAACCTCGCGATCAAAGCGTTGATTCTCGCGACCATTGGAAATGAGTGATGCAAGGACATGCTGGGGCCAATCTGGTACCCCTCATGGCTTCAAACAGAATAGGTAATGAGGCAATTGAGACTGAGCATGAAAAGTGAGATGAAGTTTTATGGAAACTCCTTCATAGCAGACACCAAAGTGCAGAATAGGGTACAACTGCTATACTCTGCACAGCAAAAAAAAACTCTGCAAGAAAATGAGGAAGCCTTCCTTTTTTCTCTGCAAAATAATCAGGCCACACAAACAATGTCATAAGAATTCTTACATATTACATGAATTATAAAAAAAATATATGAAAATAAGAGAATCAAAAGAGCCATTTTGAGCAGTCCCGTGAAATTATTATACCAATTTTGTGACCCCACAAAGCTCCAGTTCTGGGACTCCACAAAGCTGTATGCATCAATGTTGGTGGCCTTTAATTTGTGTTGACCAAGGGCAATGGAAGAATGTAGTGCTCTGCGCAAACCATACGATGCGAAAACAAGCAACATACACCCTGCAAAAAGACAAAACCAATTCTAAGCAGTGAATTAACACACAAAACCTATGTATTGAGTTACAAACAATGACCTGCAGCAGACAATACAAGCCATTTCAAATCTCAACTCATATGATTGCAGAACAACACTAACTCAAAAAAAGAGGACTCACCATTTTGCCTCAAGGTTGGCACGAGAATTCCGCTATGTGGTTCATGTACAGCCAAAATAAAGAGAGCATACAATCTACTGCAAATTGTATGGTTGCGGCATCCCGCAGGTCTTCAACTAGCTCATACCGCAATACAATACCTTGCGAACAAATCACACCAGTCGCATCATTACGCAGGGAAGTGCCAAGCCTTGGATATCATGGTCATGCACACAAAAGCTCACGTAAATATTTCAAACTGTAGTAATGGGATGGAAAAGCAAAACACACCCTCAACCATGACCTATCCAGAAAGTGACAAAATTTACAAACCAACACACAGCAGAAAAATTGTCATAAAAAACAGCTCAGCAAAGAATTAGGTCACACACAAGTTGCAAAAGGACAAAACAACAACAAAAATTTCAGGGGTACATACCGTTTTTCACAGAGCTCGTACCATTTGGTACTCACAACACACCACTCATTTCCATTTCTACCCTCAATCCTCCCTACACTCTCTCCATTTAAAAAGAGACCTCCAATAGACTCAAAACCCTAGCAGCCTCTATTCAGAAACCATCACCTTCATTTCTTCTTCAATATCAGAATTCCAACCCCCCATCTCCTTAACCTTCATCAAATCCAAACACCATCATCGCTTTCCTCATCGCTAACCCAGAAAAGTCATTTCCTTCAAAACTCCATTTCGAATCATCTCCTCGCAAACCATCAACCATCTAATTTCTGTTTCAAACCGATTCAGCTCGAAACCTAGAATTTCTTCAAAGAAGAACAACTCAGAACGAAACCTCCTCCGTCTTCCATTTCATCAACCTTCGAACAATTTTCGTAAACCACCCTCAAAGCTTCGAACCTCCATTTTCGTTCATCTGCAACGACACCGTAAACCCAGATGCAACCATAAAAACCCATCAGTAACCTTCTTCTTCCTTTGAAATACACCAAACCCTTTGAACCTTCACTGATAAACCTTTAAACCCGTTTTCATCAATCTTCAACCTTAAAATCTTCAACAGCAAACGCCTATCCTCCCTCAAACCATCTTTAAACAAACCCCCGACATCAATGAACAATAGAATAGAAACAGAGTTGAGACGAAGGCGCGGAAATGAACTAGAGAAAGAGAGAACTTGCGAAGAGAGAGCGAACGAAGTTGATCGGAGAAAGTTTGATTTGTGGATAGGGAAGTGAGAGAGGTTGTTCGGTTTCGGATAGAGCGAGGTTGGGACACGAGGGTCTTTCGATCCCTCTGTTTTTTTTGTTTTTTTTATATATCTTTATTTATTTTATTTTTATTGGTGTTTTGTTCGGGCTTTACAGCCCATGTTGGCCCCTACATACCTTGTTTTGCTGCTTCTCATGTGTCTGTTGGAAGGTGATGGACCTCAAGGGTCCAAGTGATCCTTCATGTTTATTCACACCTCCTGATCCATGTCACACCATTCCCCTGTATTTTCTTTTGAAACAAATTTCTAAAATTTTTTTATTTTATGTAAATATTGGTGTAGCTGTTTGAATATATAAATATATTATATATTGTTTTTTAATACTCCTTTTAATACTTTTTATATATTTTATTTGGAAGGTTGTTACTATTATTTATTTAGGTATATATTATTTTCTAGAGTTTTGGTTCTATAATCGTTTTCTTTTACAATTTTTACTTATTTAAATTTTGTAATAAAGTTTTAGAATATCTTTTCATTTGTTGAATTCTATTAGATAATTTATGGTTTTTTTATTTTTTTTTAGAGTTACCTCATTTCGATGGGTCGATGACGATACCCCGAGTTATAGTTTGTCAAATTATTGACAAATAATAACAAACCCGAGACCATTTCTTTTCAAAACTTTCATTTTCGTTTTTATCCACTTTTTCTTATTCCCTAGTCAATGATGACTTTAATGATTATTATCGGTCAAATTATTGATAGATGATAATTCAGTCAAGACTATGTCACTTTCGCTTCAAATTATCTTTTAAACATTTTCTCGAAAAAAACTCCAAAAGAAGGGGATTCTTGAAATCTAGCATTTCTTGGATCCTCGAGTGAATAATTCTCGAGGCACGCTCTTGAGTTGTTATTCATTCAATCTTTTGATTTTCTCAAACACATTCTCAACGTCATTTTCTCGATTAAAACTCCGAAAGAAGGAGATTCTTGGAGTCTAGCATTTCTTGAATTTTCGAGTGAATAGTCCTCGAGGCACGCCCTTTGAGTCGTTATTCACTCAACCTTTCGACTTTTTCAAATATTAATCATTCTCAAACATTCTCCTAAGTCGAATGCTCGCCCGCATTCGCAACCCACGTTTCATTCACAACTCCTCGTGGTTTCGATATTAGGGGCACCCTCAGGGACTAATATTGTTTCTCACAATCCTAACACTTGACACGTCGTCAAGTCGGTTCCATCTTCGATCAAATCCTCGACACGTCGTCGAGCCAGTTCAAAACAACTTCCTTTTGGCCTCGTATGCCATTTTTCGATTCGATCCTTTCACAAACATTTTTTAAAACTTACGAAAGAGGGATATCCTTAGAATCTAGCATTCTTTGAATATTCGAATGAGTAACTCTCGAGGTGCGCCCTTGAGTTGTTATTAATTCATTCTTTCGATTTCAAAACACCCAACTCTTATCTTCAATCTATCCAGCCCAATTCCCGAAAGAACTGAATTCTTGGAATCTCGCATTCCTTGAATTCTTGAGTGACAAGCTCTTGAGGCGCGCTCTTGGGTTGCTTGTCAGTCACTCTTTCGTCTCTTTTCTCAAACTTCCAACTTATTCAACCTCATCTTTCGTGGTTGTTACCACGAACTACGACTGCTCTGATTCTTCATTCTCGTCTGAATGTAAGATACGTAGGCATAAGATTGCGATGATCTTGGCGAGCTACCTTCTATCCATCTCCCATTTCCCCTATCTTTTCCCGTAGTCGAACTACGACGCTCTGATTCCTCATTCTCGTCCGAATGAGCATACGTAGGCACAAGGGCCCCAATCCTTGGCGAGCACCCTATCATCTAACCACCCATCTCTCTTTTACGTCTTTAACCTTTTAACCTACCAATTCTACCTTTAACAACGAGAAGAAAACAAGTAAACCTAAACAACACTCCCCACAATTACCTTAAGAGGTTCCCGTCGAGTACGACGGACGTGAGGGGTGCTAATACCTTCCCCTCACATAACCGACTCCCGAACCTGAAACATGGTTGCGACAGCCCTGTTCCTATCCTTTTCGTTTCAAGAGGTTTCCTCGATATTTTCCTCTCCCGTTTATTCGGGAAAAATAAAGTTCGGTGGCGACTTTGTCGAACCGCATTTCCGCGCCTTTCGCGCGAGGGTCGCGTTCTCCGAATTTATCTCCGTGATTTTTCGAGGTGCGACAAGAAGCAACAAGGATTGAATCCAAAACATGCATCAAGAAACAGGTTCATACCCCAAAGCCATTCTCAAAAGAAAGGAGATATTCAACAAGGACAGAAATGATTAAGTATCAAATCATAAAGGTCAGAAACAAGTTAATATGACACACA